CCACAAGAAAAACGAGGAACTTGACCTTACAAGGTCATTTGCTCAAGCAATAACACTTAACATAAGTAGGGCACTCTCCCTTAACTCTTGCATACACAATTCTAGTTCCAAACCACATGCTCCAAACACATCTTTTGGAACTTGAACATTTAAAGCACTACAAAGTTTTTCAAATCCCCTTCTTTCTCTCACTCAAACAATTAAACAAACCGCCTCAACATCCAACTTCACCACACTTAAACTGAATCCTAAGATCTCTAATGTCAGCATTTTTCTCACAACACGGACTTTCCAAGTCTCTTTTTTTCATTCAACCTAAAGGGAACTCACATCCTCACAACGACTCCCTAAAGAGTCCACAAATTAAATTAAGGCCTCCAAACACTTCTTTTGGAACTTGAACATTTAAAGCACTACAAAGTTTTCCAAATCCCCTTCTTTCTCTCGCTCAAACAATTAAACAAACCGGCTCAACATCCAACTTCACCACACTTAAATTGAATCCTAAGATCTCTAATGCCAGCATTTTTCTCACAACACGGACTTTCCAAGTCTCTTTTTTTCATTCAACCTAAAGGGAACTCACATCCTCACTACGACTCCCTAAAGAGTCCACAAATTAAGGCCTCCAAACACTTCTTTTGGAACTTGAACATTTAAAGCACTACAAAGTTTTCCAAATCCCCTTCTTTCTCTCGCTCAAACAATTAAACAAATCGGCTCAACATCCAACTTCACCACACTTAAATTGAATCCTAAGATCTCTAATGTCAGCATTTTTCTCACAACACGGACTTTCCAAGTCTCTTTTTTTCATTCAACCTAAAGGGAACTCACATCCTCACTACGACTCCCTAAAGAGTCCACAAATTAAGGCCTCCAAACACTTCTTTTGGAACTTGAACATTTAAAGCACTACAAAGTTTTCCAAATCCCCTTCTTTCTCTCGCTCAAACAATTAAACAAACCGGCTCAACATCCAACTTCACCACACTTAAATTGAATCCTAAGATCTCTAATGTCAGCATTTTTCTCACAACACGGACTTTCCAAGTCTCTTTTTTTCATTCAACCTAAAGGGAACTCACATCCTCACTACGACTCCCTAAAGAGTCCACAAATTAAGGCCCCCAAACACTTCTTTTGGAACTTGAACATTTAAAGCACTACAAATTTTTCCAAATCCCCTTCTTTCTCTCGCTCAAACAATTAAACAAATCGGCTCAACATCCAACTTCACCACACTTAAATTGAATCCTAAGATCTCTAATGTCAGCATTTTTCACACAACACGGACTTTCCAAGTCTCTTTTTTTTCATTCAACCTAAAGGGAACTCACATCCTCACCACGACTCCCTAAAGAATCCACAAATTAAGGCCTCCAAACACTTCTTTTGGAACTTGAACATTTAAAGCACTACAAAGTTTTCCAAATCCCATTCTTTCTCTCGCTCAAACAATTAAACAAATCGGCTCAACGTCCAACTTCACCACACTTAAATTGAATGCTAAGATCTCTAATGTCAGCATTTTTCTCACAACACGGACTTTCCAAGTCTCTTTTTTTCATTCAGCCTAAAGGGAACTCACATCCTCACCGCAACTCCCTAAAGAGTCCACAAATTAAGGCCTCCAAACACATCTTTTGGAACTTGAACATTTAAAGCACTACAAAGTTTTCCAAATCCCCTTCTTTCTCTCGCTCAAACAATTAAACAAACCGGCTCAACATCCAACTTCACCACACTTAAATTGAATCCTAAGATCTCTAATGTCAGCATTTTTCAAAACCTAGACTCTTGTTTCCTAACGGGGTGCCACATTCTATCCGATCCCCTAAAAGAAGCTTCGTTCGCGAAGCTAAAATCAATTTGAGTATATGAAACCAAACCGGAGTGACAGTTAGTAGAGAAAAACAGTTAAGAAACCATGCTTGAATTTCAAAAAGTTTGACCTTGCGAAAGGAGAGAATAAGATATTTAATTTTAAGCTTAGGAACGACACTAGTCAAGAATAGTGTCATGATTATCAAGGTTACAACCTCGGAAATTAAGCTATCAACTTGCATACGACCATCTTGAAAAGAAAACAGGATCGAGATTTAAAAAATAGTAAGAATTTTCAACAAGAGAGTATTCGGTTCCACAAGAAAAACGAGGAACTTGACCTTACAAGGTCATTTGCTCAAGCAATAACACTTAACATAAGTAGGGCACTCTCCCTTAACTTTTGCATACACAATTCTAGTTCCAAACCACATGCTCCAAACACATCTTTTGGAACTTGAACATTTAAAGCACTACAAAGTATTTCAAATCCCCTTCTTTCTCTCGCTCAAACAATTAAACAAATCGGCTCAACATCCAACTTCACCACACTTAAATTGAATCCTAAGATCTCTAATGTCAGCATTTTTCTCACAACACGGACTTCCAAGTCTCTTTTTTTCATTCAACCTAAAGGGAACTCACATCCTCACAACGACTCCCTAAAGAGTCCACAAATTAAAAAGGCCTCCAAACACTTCTTTTGGAACTTGAACATTTAAAGCACTACAAAGTTTTCCAAATCTCCTTCTTTCTCTCGCTCAAACAATTAAACAAACCGGCTCAACATCCAACTTCACCACACTTAAATTGAATCCTAAGATCTCTAATGTCAGCATTTTTCTCACAACACGGATTTTCCAAGTCTCTTTTTTTTCATTCAACCTAAAGGGAACTCACATCCTCACTACGACTCCCTAAAGAGTCCACAAATTAAGGCCTCCAAACACTTCTTTTGGAACTTGAACATTTAAAGCACTACAAAGTTTTCCAAATCCCTTTTTTCTCTCGCTCAAACAATTAAACAAACCGGCTCAACATCCAACTTCACCACACTTAAATTGAATCCTAAGATCTCTAATGTCAGCATTTTTCTCACAACACGGACTTTCCAAGTCTCTTTTTTTCATTCAACCTAAAGGGAACTCACATCCTCACTACGACTCCCTAAAGAGTCCACAAATTAAGGCCTCCAATCACTTCTTTTGGAACTTGAACATTTAAAGCACTACAAAGTTTTCCAAATCCCCTTCTTTCTCTCACTCAAACAATTAACAGACCGGCTCAACATCCAACTTCACCACACTTAAATTGAATCCTAAGATCTCTAATGTCAGCATTTTTCTCACAACACGAACTTTCCAAGTCTCTTTTTTTCATTCAACCTAAAGGGAACTCACATCCTCACTACGACTCCCTAAAGTGTCCACAAATTAAGGCCTCCAAACACTTCTTTTGGAACTTGAACATTTAAAGCACTACAAAGTTTTTCAAATCCCCTTCTTTCTCTCACTCAAACAATTAACAAACCGGCTCAACATCCAACTTCACCACACTTAAATTGAATCCTAAGATCTCTAATGTTAGCATTTTTCTCACAACACGGACTTTCCAAGTCTCTTTTCTTCATTCAACCTAAAGGGAACTCACATCCTCACCGCGACTCCCTAAAGAATCCACAAATTAAGGCCTCCAAACACTTCTTTTGGAACTTGAACATTTAAAGCACTACAAAGTTTTCCAAATCCCATTCTTTCTCTCGCTCAAACAATTAAACAAACTGACTCAACATCCAACTTCACCACACTTAAATTGAATCCTAAGATCTCTAATGTCAGCATTTTTCTCACAACACGGACTTTCCAAGTCTCTTTTTTTCATTCAGCCTAAAGGGAACTCACATCCTCACCGCAACTCCCTAAAGAGTCCACAAATTAAGGCCTCCAAACACTTCTTTTGGAACTTGAACATTTAAAGCACTACAAAGTTTTCCAAATCCCCTTCTTTCTCTCGCTCAAACAATTAAACAAACCGACTCAACATCCAACTTCACCACACTTAAATTGAATCTTAAGATCTCTAATGTTAGCATTTTTCTCACAACACAGACTTTCCAAGTCTCTTTTTTTCATTCAGCCTAAAGGGAACTCACATCCTCACTGCTACTCCCTAAAGAGTCCACAAATTAAGGCTTCAGACCTAGATTTCCATTCCCATATGCTTATAACCTAAGCTCCTATAGTTAGACTCTTGTTTCCTAATGTCAACCTGAATTCATCCTAAACCACTACATGGCTGAATTCTTGGGCATTTGATTATTTGGGCTTCTTAAATATTTATATTTCAGGTTTGAGCCGAAGAATTCCCTCCAAATTATTTTGTTTGGACCGTGGATTTTGGATATATTCTTGATTGATTGGGCCAAGACTATAAAATTAATTGGGAGAGTTGATGACATTCTATTTATTTCGAGTTTAGTTTGTGTTAGTGGACATCATGGTTACATGGTTTTAGATGCAAATAATTTGTGTTTTAGTCTAGCAGTGGTGCTTTGGGAGGTAAGTTGTTTTGAGGATACTACCGTCCTTAGATTTTGGCAAATTATTGTGGAAGGACCATGATACACATAATTGTGTGGAGCAGGAATACAAACAAAATTATATTATTCAATAGTATATAATTGTGTATTCAATAGTGTATGTATTCCGCGGCGTGGGGCTACTGTACCAGGGCCGGCGCCTACTATACCAGCGTCGAGCAGACACTTCCGGAGGCTGAGCCGGGGACCTTACACTGCTATTTTGATGCTGGCTTCTCTCCAACAGCAGGTGCGACGTAGCCGATGGATCTTTCTTGGCAGCTGCAAATGGAAGGCTTCCCCACTGAGTAGATGCTCTCATGGTGGAAACGCTTGCGTGTAAGAAGCTAGGCTTTGTCATGGTTAAACTAAAGGGGTAACATAACTCTCTACACGGATTGCTCAAACTTACATCTATTCATTTCGCGTTCACAAAGGTCCTATGTAGGTGTAGCGGTAGAAGATTGCTTACAAATTATTGTGTGGACGGACTATGATATCAAATAGGCAAAACTAACCTACGCTAGCTACATTTGACAGCTTTTGAAATTAAAGATAAGAAATAAACAATAATGTGAAAATTTTAAAAACTAACCTGCAGGCTGCAGATCTATTTCTTCTTTTTTTTTTTTTTTTGTTTTGTTTTTCCACTATGTTCTGCGGTGACGTGCCTTTTGCTCAACCTGCAAAAACATTGAGTTTCAGAAAAGAAAAGAGAGTTGAAATCTAAACCCTAGCCAATAGTGATCGAGGTCCTCATCCCACCCAAATCTAAATCATTTACTCAACAGAATACTAAATTTATGGAAGAAATTAGTGAATAAACGTTGAAAAAGATAAGAAAAAAGAAAGCTTTACCAAACCCCACGCTGCAAGAGGAACACCATTTCTGCCGCTTTGCCGGAGTAGGGTCGGAGGTCGCTGCTGCCTCGCCTGAGATTAGCCTCTGCTCGCCACGCCGGAAAAAGGGAAGAAGGGGAGAGGATTCGCCGGAGCTAGAGCGTCGCTGCCGCTGGAGATCGTCGCCGTCACTGCTTCACTGGAGAAGAGGGCCGCCGCCGCTGCTGCTCGTCGGAGATCGAAGGGAGGTTGTCTCACTGTTGGAGCTGCTGCCCGTCGCCGGAGGGACGGCTCCAAGGTCGCCGGTCGAAGTCAGGCGAGAGAGAGAGAGAGAGAGAGAGAAATGAAGAGATATGAAGTGAATGAGAGAGTGAGAAATGGAGAGATATGAAGAGATATTGATGGAAGCTAAGATGAAACCTTAAATCTAATGAGATAAATGAGTGTATAGGGACACGTGTCAGAATAATAGGTCCCCAAGCAATATTTAAAAAAAAATTACTGCCCCATGAGTGTTAAGGATAATGATAAATTGATAATTGTACCTGTCTATTGAAGTTTGATTTCTTGTCTTTATAGGAAATAAGGAGAATTAGGGTTAAGGATGGAGAATATGCCTTTCAATGTTTTCCTAGCTAATTACAACTCATTATACAGTACCCGGTAATAAATATGTTTTTTTTTTTTGAGATGTTTAAAACGAGATCAATATCGACTATAAAATAATTAAAAATTAAAATACATAAAAACATAAATTCTATTTTAAAATATTATTATTTATATCAAAATTATATTTTATATTAAAATAATTAAAGTAAACAAAATTAAAGTTTAAATTATAAGAATACAAATTATTTTAGTGTATTAATAGAATTTGGTCCAGAATTTGTTGTAAATAGGTTGGAGATGAAAAAAAATTAGTGTAAAAATATGCTGAGTATAATCTTTTTGTTGTAAAATTTAGTGTTTTGGGTTGGAGATGGTTTTAGACCATCTCTCACTTAACTATATCAATTGTCACATCAAAATAAATATTCTCACAATAAGTCATAACATCACATTTTTACACCAAATATTTTTTTATCCAAAAAATTTAGTTTCTCAAAATTTAAAAATTTATTAGTTCAAATTTAATTAGTTTAATATAGAATATAATTTGCGTGTAATAATAATATTTTAGTACAGTTTAATTGTGAATGTAATTATTTTAATTTTATTAAAATTTTATTTTATATAATTTAATTTTTAATTAATCTATATATATTCAATATTAGTCTTATTTTACTCGTCTTGATAAGATCTTTTAAACTATATAATTTGTGTTTGATAATATAAAATTTATCTATAAATATTACACAAAATATGTAAATATATAAATACAAAAATAAATGATACTCCGTATAAATGAAATTAATGAAAAAAGAACGTGGACAAAATAAAGCTGGTGAAAGCTAAACGGCATGCTGACGTATGCACCGCTACAAAATAATTGTTCTAAAATAGGAAAGCAACTAGAGCTGAAAACGATCCACAACTTTTTTGAATTATATGGAACCTCCTAGCAAAGGGACAAAGGTACATCTCTACAACTTATTACATTAATTGATGAAGTGTCTTGGTGGAGAGAATCTTGGACATTCACATTTTTTTTTTTTTTGTTTCATAACATTTATTTATTTTAGAATTTTTGTCTCCTTGGCCTTTCAATTATTTTTATTTTTAGATTACACAACTAATGAGAAGTTATAAGGGAGTGATTTGCATATTATGATTCTTTTAATGGCAAAAAGAAGTCATTATTATCTCTTGGACTTTTTTAGATAGAATGGCAAAAGCGTAACAAATATTTTTTTTTTAAAAAAAAAAATTGTCACTAATAACAAGCTCTAGTCATATTCTTGATGTTTATAGCTAACAACTATAAAATGTGACAAATTGTGGTCAAATGACAAAATCCCAGCAACATCGTGTTCATAGAACAAAATTGCTACAAATATGTTAATTTTCGTTGCAAAATAAATAAAGAAAAAACCTTTTTCTCATTCATATTTTTAGTGAATTTGAACCTCCAATCCGCACTACCACCTCCCGTCGTGATTATAAGTCATGCGACAAACCGCTATGCTATGTTTTTATCTATAGGGTTGTGTGGTATAGAAAAAATGTATATCTATTTTTACTCATATGTTTGTATATGCATCGATCCCTCTGTTATTTATGATTTTGATGTGAATTGAAGGTTTTTTTTTTTACTACTTAAAAAACTTTGACGTTTTTCATCTCCTGATGAATTTTTACATTTTGAACTTATTATCAAAATTAGTATGATGGACACAACAATGAAATCCACCATGACCAATCAACTTAAATCGCTCCCCGAATTATATTAGTGTAAAATCTTGATTTTAGTTGTTATGAACCTTAGAACCTAACAAGAATCTCTCTAGCTAGGATTTTGAGAAGAAGATAAATTATTTAAAAATTTAATTGTCAGGTTATACAAGATGGTTATACATTAATAATGGTTAGGAATTTATTTTATTGTATGAAATTAATAATGGGCCGGGACATCTTTGATTTGTCTTGTGTGGTTTGCATGTTATAACATATAAGTGAAATTAACCCCTGCACACTCTCAATTACATCTTTCCATATGTTCTGTCAAGTGTGGAGTTTTTGGGATTAGGATTCAACCTTTTGAAAACAAGAATAATGTAAAAATTTTCAATCATCCTAATGTCAGGAAAATCATTGAATTAAATGTGACAATATCAAAATAGTGTGAAATTAAAGTAGAATTTGCCTCATTAAAAAGTAATTTTTTAGTATTTGAGATTGGTAAATATATATATATATATATATATATATATATATATATATATATATATGTGTGTGTGTGTGTGTGTGTGTGTGTATGTATGTATGTATGTATGTATTTATTTATTTATTTATTTATTTATTTATTAAAAAACTAAATTAAAATTTATATTAAACACAAAAATCAATTTTAAAATTATTATAAAATTTTTTTATTTGACTTTTGAATAATAAGCTTGCAAGGGAGGCCGCTTTATTTAATTTTGATTGTTAGTAGGATGAATTCCTTGAATTTGAATAGTTACTTCTGTAGTTCTGTTTTATAAATTATAAACAATACAACATATACGTGGTCCCTATTAATAAAGCCAACATAGTACTACATATCACTTACATACTACTTTTCACTTCAACACCAACAAAAAATAAAATAAAATAACACCAAGAAATGATCCCAATGGTCCCAACTCCCATATAATACCAACACAGTACTAAACAAATGATCCCTTCATCTCTTAAATACACAAAGCCAACTGCTTTTCAATTAAAAAAACACACACACACACATTACTGCTATTCACTTCACGAAACAACACAAAAGAGAGAGAAGAGTAAATCCTATTAGAATGTGTTGGCAAAAATTACATTAGACTAGTTTGAAGTAAAATGAATTTTACCATTATGATTATAGAGTCCAGGGTCCAGACTGAGGCAAATTGTGTGGCCCCATCTTTTACCAAAATGAGAAGAGAGAGAAGGGATGCGTTTTTACACTTACCTTTTTCACTTACCCTTTTAAGCTTTTACACTTTTACCTAGGTTCTCATCTCTTCCCCATCTTTTGACTGCAACTCCAACAAAGCCCAAGCTTGTACAGTGTAGAAGTAGTTTACCAGAAAACGACAGCAATTAATGATAATAAAAACAACAATAATGATAATAAAAAAAATTAAATATTATTATTTTATATTTTATTATAGCAAATTAACAATATAAGAAAAATTAGTATACATATTTAATCTATGAATAATTTCAAAAAGGTTTATGAAGAGAAAATTAACATATTCGGTGATAAATTATTCTTAATATCCATATAAAATAAAATACTCCGTATCAATGTTGAATCATATAAAACTTTTTGCTCATATTCCATAAACTAATCAGATTTTTCTAAAAAAAAAAAATTAAGGATTTTTCAAAAAAAAAAAAAAAAAAACTTGTTGTACACCCTATCATAGTACCATGTCATACTATGTGACAAAAATGGGGCGGTGATGAGAGATATGAGGTTATGATGACATATATATCATTATTATGTGGGTTGTGGACCACTCTATATATGTTGCATAAATTATAATGATGGTAAATAAAGAAATAATTTAAATATAATGGAGTAAAATTGTGAATCTACAAAAGGCTGAGAAAAAATTTACAACTAATGAAGAGATGAATTTTTGAAATTGAGTGAGATAGTGGATAATGAAGTGGTGTTGAGATCCAAAAAAACAAAATCTAAACTATTGAGGATGTCTTAAAAAACCAATGCTTCTATTTATTAAGGGCTCAGAGGTAAAGGAAGACAACTTAGTTTTTTGATTTTTTTTTTTTCAAAAAAAAAAAAAAAAAAAAGTGATGGGTTTGGCATGTGAAGCGACTCCCATATATAACATCTCTAAGAAACTGTGCAGTATTGACTAGTATCCATTTAAGGTGTGTTTGGTTTGGATCGCACATGTGAACATGAACAAGAATCTAATACTTGTTTTTTTTATATAAGTTAATTATCAAATCTGTTCAAAATTATTACTACCCAGTGATGATGAATCAATCAACAAGCTTTAAAAATTCTTTGACTTTGACGAACTGGAGTAAAATTAGCGTGAGCACCCACCCAGGTTTGAAAAAAACTCATTTATTGATGTATAAATCTAGTGTGGGGTACAAAAAGGTCCCCATGTGCTGATTGTGTATTCATCAATTCCCATTCATGAGCCTCTTCAACAGCTGATGAGAATAAAGTTATTACCCATATTATTGATTATTGATACTGCTGCTTTGACTCATGCATCTCTTTCAATAAATTATTCATGTTTCAATCTATTTAATATTTAGAAATAATATTACAAAAATTAAATGAAATAACATTACGAACATCACCAAAGCAATCTGAGACCATTTAGATTAGTTGTTTAAAATTAATTGGAACACGTACTGTATTCACTTTAAGAATTCACAACAAGGTGACACCAGTCAACGCACGGTGCACCATGCACCTGTTCCAAGTCCCAACGTGGTATATCATAGAATTGCACAGATCAGATGAAACCAATTCAATACCATCTTAATTTTTAAATTCGGGAAGTTTGTCCAGGTATGTTTCTTAGCTTTAACAAAAACAGTAGATTATCCTGGTTTTTCATATGATTTTCTGGTAACTAATCTGAAGATCATTACGAGATCAATAATAATAACAATTAATTAATGAAACAACCAAAATACTTAACTAGCAAAGAATAAAAAGAAAGCATAATTAATTAACCACTGCATTTTTACCGATAT